TTATGAGGAAGGGCTTTCCAAGTTTCACCCATAAAACTTGTAAGGAAGGGGTTATAGACACCTAATTTTGTCCAGACCTGTAACAAGGAAATGGACGCCTAGAGACCTACCAAAAGTAGACGCCTAAAAAAGCATCATAATACTCACTTCGCGAGAGAAACACAAAATTCTTGCCACATACACATCCTCAAGGAAGACGCCTAGAAAGGCATTATAATACTCACATGGCAGGGGCAACACCAGAGTCCCTGCCATCCATCCACTCCTTTGCCCACCAGTGCAAGGGCACGTATTCACATCCCAATTCGATATATGACAAGGTCGTGAGGGAAAAGGTTTGGAGAAACAATACTCACATCCTAATCTGGTATACAACAAAGCCGTGAGGGAAAAGGTCTGGAGAAATAGTACTCACATCCCAATCCAGTATACGACAAAGTCGTGAGGGAAAAGGTCTGGACAGATGGTACTCACATCCCAATCTGGTATACGACAAAGCTATGAGGGAAAAGTCTGGAGAGACGGTACTCACATCCTAGTCTGGTACATGACAAAGCCGTGAGAGAAAGGTCTGGAGAGATGGTACTCACATCCCAATCCGGTACGATAAAGCCGTAAGGGAAAAGGTTTGGAGAGATGGTACTCACCTCCCAATCCGGTATACGACAAAGTCGTGAAGGAAAATTTTGGAGAGACACTCACCTCCCAATCCAGTATATGACAAAGCTGTGAAGGAAAAGTTTGGAGAGACGGTACTCACCTCCCAATCTGGTACACGACAAAGTCGTGAGGGAAAAGGTTTGGAGAGATAGTACTCACATCCCAATCCGGTACGACAAAGTCGTGAGGGAAAAGGTTTGGAGAGATGGTACTCACATCCTAATCTAGTATACAACAAAGCCGTGAGGGAGAGGTCTGGAGAGGCAATACTCACATTCCAATCTAGTATACGACAAAGTCATGAGGAAAAAGTGGAGAGACGGTACTCAACAAAACCAATGGGCCGTCTGAAGCCCCAAATATCAGTTTAACCTGGAGAGGCTAAGCTCAGAACATATTCTCTCTTCAACAAGCTACAAATAAAGAACACACTACCATCAACATCAAGCCAGAAGCCTAGATGATACAAGTTTACTATCCTTATCACCCAATAGAGCATACAACCCAACACTTAGTTGCTATAAGGGACAAGGATATGGGTAAACACCATCTACCCGAAAGAAATGATGTAGGGGCATCTACACTGTTGAAGCAAAATGGGAGATTCGGACGCAGCAACAAAAAAGGTGACATGGAGCATTCACATGGATCCCAAAGCTTAGATGGTTCAAGTTTACCATCCTTGACACCAAACATTGCACACAACCCAACACTCAGTTGCCCCAAAGGGCAAGGATACCAGTAAACACCATCTACCCAAAGGAAACAACATGAGATATCTAATATCAAAATAAGAAAGAAGACTCGAATCTCCACCTCACTATCACAAGAGAAGCAATGGAGCATCTACTTGAAGATTGAAGATCAGGTGTACAATTTATCACCCTTGTTATCCAATAGAGTACGCAACCCAACACTCAGCTGCTCTAAAGGGAAAGGATACAAGCAAATACACTTATCCAAGGGAAGTAACGTAAAAGCACCAGTACAAAGAGATGAAGAGAAGACTCGGAAGAAATGTCTACGTCTTTACTTGCCTTTAGAAAAAAAAACATAGTTATCCTAAAGGACAAGTAAAGAGGGACAGTTGTAGACACCTAATTTTGTCCGGACCTGTAAACAAGGAAATGGACATCTAACATGAAGAAAATGAGCTCCCAAAGCATGGAAACAATATGATATGACATCATATGGCCAAAAAGCCCAATAAGGGTAGTTTAGTAGCCTAGAACGGGTCATTTCTAAACTGGAATAGGCCGTTCTAAACTACTAAAAATGCTTATAAACCCTAGCTTGGAACGGGACGTTCCAACACAGATTGTTATGAGTAAAATTTGATCCAGAACGGGTCATTCTAGATTTAAATTTTACCCATAAAAGACTGGCCCAAAACGGGCTGTTCCGAATCCAGAATGGGTCGTTCTAGTTAGCTCTAATGACTATAAACAAAAGACTCGAGCACTACCCCAGGGGCTAGGTTCAGAACTCCATATAGCTTGAAAATTGTCTCCCTCTCTCTATTCTTTTGTATTTCTCGATATTTGTAAGGTACTTGTGTAGTTTGAAAGGTAGCCAAAAAAACACCTAAGAGATCTCATCATTTGAAGGTCCAATAAAGTTAAACCAAGAGGTATTTCAATCAATCTCCTTCTTCTTTTTCCTACTTTCTCATCTTTAATAAAGATTGTCATAAACAAAAAAGGATAATCATGTAGACGTCTTAAGGAAAATCGTATAATTTAAATTTCATGTATTCAAGTCATCATCAATAAAAAGGAATCAATATTTAAAGTATTATTTATTATTATGCTAATTTCATCATAAGGGTACCGATTTAGGGCATTGTGAGGGTGTTTAATACCTTCCCTACACGTAACCAACCCCTGAACCTAATTTTGGTTGTTAAGGTCATTATTGAACTTTTGAAAACCTCTTCCTTTTCTAAATGTTTTGAGTAAAACATTGGTGGCGACTCCATGAATCATTTTTCAAAATCATTAATTAATGATTAGTCTGGTCTCCGGACATTCCTTAACTTAACTGATGAGATTTTTTCAAAAGGTAGCCAAAACCATTTAGTTGTAAGATCAGAATTTTTTGGGTTACGATATGGGTTTCCAAGTTTCACCCATAAAACTTTTAAGGAAGGAGTTTTCAAGTTTAACCCACAAAACTTGAAGGGAGGATTTTCAAGATATATGTAACACATTTTGAAATAAATAATGAACATCCTTGTGGACATAGGCATGAGGGGCTGAACCACGTTAAATAAATTTGTGTGATCTTTTCTTATTTCTTTTATGTTGTTATTTTAATATGTTTCTCATCATTATTATTGTGCGTAAAAGAAAAAAAGATTTTTTGTTCCCAACATTTTTTTATCTTGTTTTTCTTTTATTAATTTATTTATTTAACTAATATATCCCTTTATGGGTTTTTTTATTTAATCTTAGATTTCTCGTATGTATTTTCAACTCTAATGGTGGGTGACAATATTTTGGAGTGTTGGCAGAAAAATAAAGAAAAGGTTTAAAGTTTCTATACCTTTATTGAATAAATATTTAACCTTATTTCCTAAGCATTTTGTTCTATATTGCAATTAATGTTCTTCTTATCATTATTTTTTGAAGGGATAGTTCAAGCAATATGAATACTATTCTCCATAGCAGAGAATGGTTCTCCTTGTGGAGACATTATTTTGGATGTTGATAAAAAAAAAAAATTACTTCTTCTCCTTGTGGAGACATTATTTTGGAGGTTGATAAAAAAAAAGTAATATTAATCGTAATTTTAATTTTAACATTTAAAAATTGTTTTAATCGTAATTTTGACATTTAAAAATTGTTTTAAAATAATTGATATATAACTCTTTAATGTAATATTAATTTTTTTTTTAATTTCTGCCTTCGTTAATTATTAAACCATTACTATTAAAGTAATGTAATTTTAGAAAAATGAAGTTATTATAGTAAAATTATATTAAAAATAATATTTTTATTGTAATTTTTAATATATGTGTAAAAATTTTTAAAATGCAATTATTGTGAGATGAAGAGAGTATTATTTTTTATTTGATTGATGAAAGATATAATTATATTCAACGATTGGTGAACGACTAACAATTATAAAAAAATTCATTAAAAAAACATAATTGTCAAACTTTTCAACCGATACATAACACTATAAATGGATAATTTCACAACTATTGTTAGTTTTGTAACTTATAATTATCTCAAGAGATTTAGAATCTGTTTGGATATAATCATAGAAGCGTTTTTGAGAACTTTTCTACTAGAAAAATATTTTTTTATTTTCAATGAAGAAGTTCTGAAAAGCATTTTTAACTTTTATTCAAAAAGGCTCTTACTTTAAAAATAATTTTTCATAGAATTATTTTACTCAATAATCCTCAGTAGAGTTATTCCACTCAAACTTTTTATATTAAATCTCAACTATCTAACCATTAAATTAAAAGTTCTTAATAATTGAATCAAATCTATAATTTTTTGTAAAATTTGAAAAGTATATACTACAATACTTAATTACATTAATTCAAATTAACGTATATTCATATAAAAAAAAATATTACATGTACCCACTCCATCTCAAAATAATTTTGTAGGTAATTCCCCCTCCTCCCCAACCTCCATCTCAATATACCGATTTTTATCCTTCCTATAAAAGGTATTTTGTACAAATACTTGTATAGTTAATATACTTTTTTCCATCTCTTAATATGTTAGAATTACTAGGATTGACTTAATGTTGACAGTTGAAGTAGTATGTATAAGGTCTTAAAATCTCGGATATCATTATTATCATTTTGATGGATAAAAAAACATCCTTAAATTAATACACATTACCTTTTTTCTCCTCCATATAAATCATCATACTCTAGTTGTTCTCTATTATAAAGAAAAATTACTAATTTTACTCATGTTAAAAAGTTAATTATTTGTATTAAATTTTGCTGTTCTCGTAATAAGATTTTTTCTAAATTATCTTTGTTATAAATATTAAAAGAAATAGTTGAACTAAAAGGTCATGATATATTAGAGAACAAAGAGAGTGTATGATATATTGATTAAAAGTTAATAATTGAGAGAAAATTATTGCTATTTGTAAATAAATTGTTTTTTAGTTATGTATATTTTTTGTGAGAGAAACATGAAAGCAGACAAAAAAAAACCTGATAGATGAGTTTAATCCATGAATATATAATTGATAAGTTAGTTTAATCAATGTGAAACAAACTGCAAAAGATATTGGGAATGTAGTCAACCATTCATGTGATTAGCTTATATGGGGATCCGAGAAGAACATCAGAGGTACCAAAGGCTATGGCAGAGATCACGAAACCATTTGGGACTTCTCTTTTGGTACCATCAGTTCAAGAATTAGCTAAAGAAAAAACATCAAGCGTTCCACAAAGATACATTCAACCTCAACATGATAACGTTGTGATCTTCTCTGAAGCTAATAGTATCCTTGAGATCCCAATTATTGATATGCAATGCTTGCTGTCCGTGGAATCTGGTAGTTCTGAATTGGCCAAGCTTCACCTTGCATGCAATGAATGGGGATTCTTTCAGGTATCTTTTATCTCTTTATCCTTCAATTTCTTTTTAACATTAACACATCTTTCTGTTTGATTCTAGACTTGAGACCTTGAGTCAAAACTATGTTTATAAAATCTAAATTTAATCTGAATTAGTTACAGATTGTTTTAGTTGTTAATCCTCTTGTAGCTGATAAACCATGGTGTTAGCTCTTTCTTGGTGGAGAAATTGAAGTTGGAGATTCAGGAGTTTTCCAAACTTCCAATGTCAGAGAAGAAATTTTTTTGGCAGAGTCCACAATATATGGAGGGTTTTGGACAAGCATTTGTTGTGAGTGATGATCAAAAGCTTGATTGGGCTAACATGTTTTATATGACTACCCTTCCAACACACTCAAGAATGCCTCATTTATTTCCACAACTACCTCTTTCATTCAGGTTCTCTATTTCCATATATATGTCTTTAAGGTATTCTAATTCCTGAATGAATATTAGAAGAAAAAAAAATTATAAATAAATAATATTGTTGAAAATATATTATTTTTATAAGTGTAACATGAACTTCATATAAGTGATTAAAGAAGAAATAGGTAGCATATTATAAATAAATAAACATATTATTCAGTAAACATATAATTATTATTAAGGATAAAAATATAAAAAAATTCTATAAGTTATTAATTTAAAAAAAAAATACTGTCAAAATAAACTATGAAAAAACAGAAAGAGTGCATTACTAATGATCCAACCATGATATATAGCACGAATTTCTGCTATCTTCAATCATAATAAAACTTAGTTCAAGCACTATTTTTGTTGCAATTTTATAAAATAAGCATAGTTACAATATAACTTAATTCTACATACAAGTAAAATAATAATTATTTTTTTTTACAAATGTCGGTGATGAGTCCACCATTTCAGCATTGTTAGCAAAAATAATAATTTGCGCACTTCCCTCCCTCACATTGTGTTCTTCTGTCACTCAGCACTCTTGTTGGTCCTGCAATTAGAACAAGTTCACAATTTTTAAAGACAAAATTCCTTACTTTTATTATTTGAAATTTTAACATAAAATTTAAATGCAACTTAGAACTATTAGTGTTTTCCTTTTTTATTTTAATAAATAGGCCAAAAAATAATACATTTTCATAACCAACGCAAGATTTTCTAGAGAAGAGGTTATTGAAGTGAAAAGTCATTTTGAGAGGATGTTATTTATGAAATTCTGATTTTTCTTTCTTGTGGACATTTTATTAAAGGAGTTGGTACCATACTCTCTTTTTGGTTTGATAATGTTAGTTATGTACACCAAATTCACTTAGAAAAAAAAATTTCTTATTAAACATTAACAAAACTGTACTAGTATGCACCTCTTCGATTAGACAATAGGCCGAAAGGGGTGCTCCAACCGATAAAACACACCAGCTGGCACCCCTTCGGTCAGACGATAGGCCGAAAGGGGTGCCCTAGCCGATGAAGCACGCCACCCCTTCGACAAGGAGCCAGGCCGAATACCCTCTCGGCCTCAAGCTAGGTCGAACACCCTCTCGGCCTCAAGCTAGGCCGAACACCCTCTCAGCCTCAAGCTAGGCCGAACACTCCTTCGGCCTTGTGCTTAGCCGAAGACCCAAAGAGAAGGGATGTGAAATTACTCAAGAAACCCCTCGACAAAAAGTTTAGCCGAGTACCCTCTCGGCCCCTAGCCAGGCTCGGCCCCTAGCTAGGTCGAACACCCTCTCGGCCTCAAGATAGGCCGAACACCTCTTCGGCCTTATGCTTAGCCGAAGACCCAGAGTTCATGATAAACACGTGGCAAATCAGATACTTATTATGCACTGATTACTGTGCCAGATTAAGAAAGGATTAAGGTTAACTCAAGTATTACCCATCTCCCAAGAATGAAGGCCCACCAGGCCCACACATGTCACTATAAATACACAGATGATGTGACATAAATGGGGTACGTTACTACTAACTATCAAGCCTTTATTGCTTTCAACCGAACACTGACTTGATCGTCGGAGTGCCTTTGCAGGTACCCTCCCCCACCCTTCGGAGTTAGCATTCGGTCGGCACCAAAGACTTAAAAGGTTTCGAAGACTGCAAGGAAGGAGCGACAACACTACAAAAAAAACATTATTTAGTGGGGGTTATTTTACGGAGGTTTTGAAAACCCCCTCAAATTAACATGAGCTGCGGCGTTTTGGGAGAACGCTCAAAATTGTAAAGATAATGGCGGTTTTTATCAATTTTTGAGGAGGTTTATGCCCTCCCAAATTCAGAGGCAATTTTTCGTGAAAATTTTTCACCATTTTCCCTCGCAATTTATTTTCACCCAATCCCTCTAACCCCCCTTTCACAAAACGCTCGTTTATCTCTGCTCTGCTCTTTACTCCAAAGTATGAAGTATCGCTCTCTTCCTTCTCCCATCATCGTACCAATTTTCCGCACCTTCACCGCAACATGATCTAGCAGTTCCACCATTAACTCTGCTAACGCATCTCGCTCACAAAATTTGGTCCAATAGTGCTTATTCCGCTCTTTATTTTTTGCCCTTCGTTTTCAATTTCGCTTTTGTTTTCGTGGAATCTAGGGTTTTCTCAATGTAGGGGATCCGTGCTTGGTTTTTGCAATATACCTTATCCACGTGCTTAAGTTTTGTTTTCCTTTTATTAATTTCTGCCCCTGCGTTGTATTTTAGGAACGGATTGTGAAACACCGAAACCTTAAGTCGAAGTTTGCCGCGTAGAAATGGAAGGTGCCTTTGACGATGAAGCTGAACCAGCCGTTACTATCGGCGAGTGCCTTGATGAAGTCGAGGAACGGGAACTGGTAAGTCATTTTCTACACTTCTGCTGTACTTTCATATCTATATGAAACAATCGAGGTTTTATGTGTCTATTTGTTGTTGTTACTTTACGTCTCATTTGGTTGATAAAGCTATTGTTTATCCTTGCTTATTGATTGTAATTTATTCTGTTAGGGGAATGTAAAGTGAATATTGAGTAAGCATTAAAGATGATTCATAAGTGTATTTGAAATGAGATGAAATTATTTTGTGATTATCCATTATTCTATTATGTTCTACTAATGGGGCACATGTATGGTTTTTGATAGCATTATTGTATAATTATGGCTGGCTTTCCTACATCTTTTGGATTGCTAGAAATGTAGCCCTTTAAATTACATGAAATCTAATGTGTGGTTCACTCCTTCACTGTTGCTGGGATAGTCTTCAATAATTATGATAGTTTATTCTTTATCTTTCATTATTTGTTTCTAGCTTAGTTCCATTTTCTCAAGCATGCTTTTTGAGAATTAGAAAGGTAACTTGTGTATGTGAATGAAATACACTATAATTGTGGCATATGATTTGCATCTGAATTCTGAAGTGAGATTGTTTTTTTTCTTGTGCACTTTTCTGTATTGGGAAGAGGCTGCTGATTGAGATTCAAGCTTTATAAGCAATTGTGGTTGGGCAGAGCTATTCCTCTTAATGCTGACTTATTGTTGTTATGATTGATTTTGTTTTACTCAGAAGTCAGAATGTGGCATGATTCAAATGTTTGACACTTTAATCATTGGCTTTTTCATTTTTGTAGGAAGCTGATTTAGTTTTGGGCGGTGATGATGGCAAGGAACGTACCTACAACCACTACAAGAAAAATGCTGATTTCCGACGGAAATTTCCGACGGAAATAGGCAAATTTCCGATGGATTTTTGACGGATTTTAATCTGTCAGAAAAAGTGGCGTCGGAAAAAAAAATCCGTCAGAAATAATTTTCTGACGGAATTTTTTGACAGAAAAATCCGTCGGAAAATTTCGTCAGAAATTTCTGACGGAAAAATCTGTCGAAAAATTCTGTCAGAAATTTCTGACGGAAAAATCCGTCGAAAATTGCTGTCAAAATTTCCAACGGAAAAATCGAGACATCCTCTCAGCCAAGGTTGATTAAACACTTCTGATAGACTATGGCCAAGGCCAAGGAATCCAAGAGGAGATACATTAAAAGAACCAAGAGGAATGGGATGATTTTGAAGACCTTTTTCATATGTTGTAAATATCTTGTACATAGTTTCTTTTGTATAGTTTATTTTTGCCTTTGTATTTGTAAGGCACTTTATTTCCCTTTTTAGTAGCTATTGTATATTGATTCTAGGGTAGGTTACTTGGACACTTTGACTCCATTTAACCTAACCTAGAAATACATTCTTTTCTTAGTTTTCTAGTAGGAGTGGCATTAGCAAATTAGAGAGTGTCCTTAGTAAGCTAGAGAGTGCTCCTAGCAATTTAGCCAAAGGTGGTCCTAGGCTAAATTTTTCATATTGGACTCATTTTACTCCTAATTTTTCATAGATTTGATTTAGCTAGGTTCCATTCCCATTGAATGAACCTAACTAAACCAAATTAACCATTTTCAAATCAAAAGGAGTAAATTAATTCCAAGAAGCCACCCACCTTAGAAGTGTGTTCACACTTGTGTTCACACTTGTGTGAACACTTGTGTTCACACTTGGACGAAATTCATGGAGTTTCTTAAGCTTGGAAGCTTGAAGCACAAGCTTCTCCTTGGCTAGCTTACCAAGCAAGCCAAGTGAGAAGCTTGCTCTCCAAGCCTCTTGACCTTGGACGGTTTATCTAGACTCAACCATGGTTCCTAGTGAACCATGGTCAAGACTAGCTTGCTCTCTAAGTTTCCTACTCCTATAAACTTGTAATTCTTTGATTGTAAAACACTTTTGACCAATTTGAGAAATGAAATCTGAATTTTCTCTCTAAATCAAGAGTCACAAAAACCGAAGAGAACTTTCTCTCATAAGTTCTCTCCAAAGGTGCTTCAACCTTACCTTGGTTCCTTAAGCTTCTACCTCAAGCTAAGGAGTAACCGAGCCACTTCAAGGCTTCTTCTCCATTGAAGAACACTTCAAGGAGCTTCAAAGAGTCATTGGAGTCTTAACCTCAATAGCATTCACGGTCCTAAGCATGGAGCAAGTGAAGGAATCATCAATCTCCTCACCTAGTTCCATCAACTTCCCTCCCGAACTACCTTGTTCGGCCAAGGATGAGTATTCATTTTCCTCCAGAACAACCTCGTTCGACCAAAGGTGAGTGTTAAACCTCCCTTCCGAACAAACGTCGTTCGGCCAAAGATAAAATCTCGATTCGGTCGTATAAAAGAACTTAAAGCAGAATTAAAGCGAAGCCCAGTACATAGTCGCATAGCAAGAAAGAAAGTAATATCCAAATAAGAGACAGAAAATTCATTAAGGGCTTTGAGGCCAAAAGCGGCACTAACGGTTAAAAATAATAATTAAAAATAAGATTTCCGACGGAAAATTGTCGGAAATTTCTGATGGAATAAATCCGTCAGAAATTTGCGACGGAATATTCTGTCAGAAATTTTTCGTTAGAAATTTTCGACGGAATTATTTTTCTGTCGAAAATTTCTGACAGAATTTTCCGTCAGAAAGTTTCTATCGAAAATTTCCGACGGAATTTTCTGACAGAAATATAAATCCGTCGAAAATTTCCGACGGATCCATATCCGTCAGAAATTTTCCGTCAGAAATTTACGTTTTTCTTGTAGTGAACAAAGGTTATATGAAAAGGCAAGCAATTTTCTCTTGCCTCACCTGTACTCCAGATGGGAATGCTGGAGTTTGCACAGCTTGTTCATTGTCTTGCCATGATGGTCATCAGGTAATTTTCTTCTGTCTCTAGAATTTTGGATTGCATTAATATAAAACTGGAAATGGATATGGATTTTTTCATTAATGCTTACCATTTGATGCTGAGTTGTGATAGTAATACATGTTCTAGTTAAATCATATGTTTGATTTTGTGAGGACAGCATGTGTTTTGAGAGGAAAATATTTAGTCATGTATAATTTCCACAGGGGAACCTGAGAATGTTTCCTTAAATTTCCAGTTGTTGATTTGTGTTGTACTCTAGATGTTTTATCTGGAGTCTCCTGGGTCCATCGTTACATGCTAATAATGTTACCATCATACTATTTTTCTAACTTATAAGTAAATCATGATTAGGATTTATCCATTTATTTATAGTGACCAGAATTAGTCTCGTGGGACATAAAGTTGGTTATTGGTGAAATATTGTATTGTATTATGTCACTTATATTGGGCATGTTTTGATACTGGGATGGGTAAACTATAAAAATTAAAAGGTAAAATAAGTGAAATTAAAAAATAAAATAATATATATATATATATATATATATATATATATATATATTTTAATCAATAAAAAATTATAAACACTAAAGTACATATTGATTAGGCATGTTGTATTCGTCAATACTTATTATAATAGCTATACTTCTTTTTTGAACTTTTTTTTCTTTTACAACCATTTTTTTTTCTTTCTAAAACCTTAAAATAATAATAAACATAAAGTATGAGTACCAAGTACTTTTTTCTTCTGTTCAAAAATTATAAAGATGATATATTTAATTAAAAAATCCTATATTTAATTTTTACCGTAACAAACAACTTTTGATAGAGATTAAATTTTGGCCCAATAAACACACACTAGTAAAAAAAATAATAAACACTTTTTTCTTTATCTTATTTGTTGCTTCAACACCATATAGAAGTGACAATTTTATTCAATTTTATTTCTTAAGATACTTATTAGTTTGATCTCGGAGATTGCACTTGAATTATAGAATTATATATTAGGACCAAATTACACTTCCTTTATCTCTAAATTGTACTGATACTAATTTATTTTTCTTATTTCAGCCTAGTGACGTTGGAAGTGAACCTGAATCACCGTTAGATGCTAGAGGATCATTTGGTGGTAGCAACTTGAATAGCCAGTCTAATATTTAGACCTAGTTTCTTATATTGTAGACTTCTTTAGGTTATCATGGTTTTTGAATTTATAATGTGTTGTAAAAACTTAGTTTCTTTTGGTAATATATTGTGGTGCTGTATTTGCTATCAACTTGGACTTCTGAATTAGCTTTGATTGTTGTTACTCTTTTGTAGTTATGTAATTTTCATTACTATCAATCCATTGTCCATTACTATTATGGATGGAGCAGAAATTTGAATTTAAATTGTCCACTCAATGTGGTCTTGTTGTCACAGATATCAAATGTTTGATTACCATTATTTTTTTTAATGTTTTTATTGTCTTTTTTATTTGACATCTTGTTGTCTATATTATGGGTTTCTATTGATAGTTTGTATTCCCATTAATTTCTTTTTTTTCTTATAAAAAAATTAATATTATCCAATGGAATTTGGATTATGTTATGAGTACCTCTTTATTTTTTTGTATATAGGTTAAATGTAATTTAGATTAAAAAAATAAAATATATTGTGAAATAAAAAATAAAAAAAAAACATCATTCAAATTGAGGAGGTCAAAAACCCTCGCTAAACAAAACGCCGCAGAATGGAAAAGGTAGCGGAGGTTGGTAAAAATCACCGTATAATGCTAGTGGCGAACGTAACTATGGCGTTTTTATAAAATGCCGTTATTTATTTTGAGGGGGGCGAAAACCGCCGCAATATGAAAAAAAAAACGCCGCAAAATGACGAATTTCTTGTAGTGCAAGAGGAGTGTTCTTACGCAGGAACATTTTGGCGCCCACCGTGGGGCTGAAACCAAAACGGTTCTCGACCCTGAAGCAAGATGGTATTGACAAGGAGTCAACAAGATAACGCAACCGAATACCCTTTCGGGATGCCCCGAGACAACCCAAGGCGACAAACTAACCAGAATGAGGAAGGAATGGAGGAGTCATACGTAGAGCGATCCCAGCAACCCAATCCATCGTCGGCTATCGAACAATTGAAGGCCGAAATGATGGAACTTGAGAGACTCCGAGAGAAGGACGCTCACGAGCTGTCAGTCTTGAGGAAAGAGAATGCAGAACTCCGAAGTGACAATCGGACTTGGCACCCATCCCAGGACATCCCGAACACGCTTTCCACTCGGGACCAAGGGGAGTCTTCGGCGTGGTATAAGGAGGCAAGAGACCCCAGACCACCACCAGGGGTAACAACCACTACTCTTGATCAGCAACGAAGACAAGGAAGAACACCATTCACACCAAATATTGTCTGGGCCCGTTTGCCCGACAATTGGAAAAACTTGGTCCTGGAGAAGTACGATGGAACCGTCGACCCTGAGGAACACCTTGACGCTTTCGTCACCCAAGTCGGCCTGTACACGGACGATGATGCTATCCTCTGCAAGGTCTTTCCCACCTCGCTTAAAGGACCGACGCTTAATTGGTTTACGAGACTCCCACCCGGCTCGGTAGACTCGTTCACATCCCTGTCTTCTCGTTTCGTGATACAGTTTGCCACGAGTCGGCCTCATCAACTCACATCCATCGCACTGGTCAATATACGCCAAGAGAAGAAAGAACCTCTGAGAGCCTTCATGGAGAGATTCGGAAAAATGACTTTATCCATTCGGAATCTGGACCCGGCCGTGGCGATGCACCACTTGACCACAGCGTTACGACCAGGTCCCTTTGTCAACAGCCCTGTGCAAGAAACCACCCTGGGATCTAGACGACCTGAGGCAAAGAGCCACCAAGTACATGTAGATGGAGGAACTAGCTGAGTTTTGATGCCAAAACCGATCGGACCTATTTCCCACCAAGAATGAGCATTATAAGGAACCACCCAGACCACGCCCTAGAGACATGTCGGATCGTGATAAGAACAGCAGGGGGCCGAAGTACTTACAGTACACACCACTCAACACCAGCCGGGCTAGGGTGTTGGAACAGGCCTTAGCCACTGAGGTTTTGGCCGTTCCCCAAAGAGCCATCACCCCACCGTGCGTCGACAAAACAAAAGCATGCCAGTTCCACCGAAATAGAGGGCACACTACTGAAGAGTGCTCTGCCCTTCGTGATCGAATTGAAGATCTTGTTAAGGTGGGACACCTCCAAAGCTTTGTTCAATCGTTAGACAACCAAAGGAGCGACAACCGTACGGGTAGGGGAGAATACCGAAGGGAGAATCAGGATCGAGCGCCCCGGCGGAACCAATCCCGCGAGCGTAGTAGGTCCCAAGATAGAACCAGTCAACGCGACCGGAATCAGCCCAGACGAGTCATAAACACCATAGCCGGAGGCTTTGCAGGAGGAGGAAGCTCATCTTCGGCCCGAAAGAGACACTTGAGGGCCATTAAATCGATCAACGCTATAAAAAAGGCATCTCCCATTCGTATGCCCCCTATAACATTCACTGACCGAGATTTTCAAGGCATCGACCGAGTACAAGATGACCCCATGGTTATCAGTGTAGAGATCAATAACTGTATCGTGAAGAAGACTTTGGTCGATCAGGGGAGTTCGGCGGACATTCTATACTGGAAGACATTCGAGCAATTGGGCATTCCGGAGTAGGAATTGACACCCTACGACGAACCTTTGGTAGGATTTTCGGGTGAACGGGTGGACACTCGAGGGACGATAGACTTGTACACCTACTTCGGGGAGGACCAACGTAGGCAGATTAAAGTGCGTTACGTGGTTGTAAACGCCAACACCTCGTACAACATTCTGTTAGGCAGACCCTCCCTGAACAAGCTCCGAGCCATTGTATCCACTCCGCACTTGGCTATGAAGTTTCCCTCAGAAGAAGGGACCATGATCACCGTGCATGCCGATCAGAAGACAGCGCGCGAGTGTTACTTTGCCAATCTGAAAGTACTGCCAATGCCAAAGCCGAGACGGGATGTCAACGTGATTGGCGACGTTGTTTGGCAAAAGTCAGTCGAAGGCTTAGAACTAGACCCAAGAATAGAAGATGAAGATAGGGTCGAGCCAATTGAAACAACTGTTCCTTTCCAGCTGGGGCGAAATGAGGAGCAGGTTACTTTCCTGAGTTCTCAGCTATCCGAAGCAGATGCAAGGGATATTAAGCAGGTCCTACAAGAATATTTGGACTTATTCGCTTGGACTGCGGCTGACATGCTGGGCATCGATCCAGGTTTTCATTGCCATCGACTCTCGGTGTGCCGAGACGCTAAGCCCATTGCTCAGAAGAAAAGAAAGATGGGTGGCGAGAGGGCTCAGGCGATAAAAGAGGAGACAACCAAGTTGCTTCAAGCACAATTCATCAGAGAAGTCAAATACTCCACTTGGTTGGCCAACGTGGTGATGGTCAAGAAGTCAAACGGAAAGTGGCGGATGTGTACAGATTACACGAATTGGTGGACGGGGCGGCCGACCATCAAAGACTGAGTTTCTTAGACGCTTATTTGGGGTATAATCAGATACCGATGTACCCCCGGGACGAAGCGAAGATAGCGTTCATCACAGATTCGGCCAACTTCTGTTACAGGGTAATGTCGTTCGGCCTGAAAAATGCAGGAGCAACCTACCAGCGCCTCATGGACAAGATTTTTTCTCGGCAGATTAGGGCATGTTTGGAAGTCTACGTAGACGATATAGTGATCAAGTCCAACTTCGCCACCGACCATCTGAAAGATCTAAAAACAATCTTCGACGAAGTAAGGCGGCATCACATGCGATTGAACCCGGCTAAGTGCAAGTTTGGGGTAGCCGGTGGAAAATTTCTAGGCTTCATGCTGTCAAATAGAGGCATAGAAGCCAATCCTGACAAGTGCCAAGCCGTCATCAATATGAGAAGCCCTCTTAATGTGAAGGAAGTGCAACGCTTGGCGGGACGCGTCGCCTCCCTGGCTCAGTTCTTGCCTTGCATGGCGGATAAATCTAGACCTATTATGTCCCTACTAAAGAAGGCCACCAAGTTTAAGTGGACCGACGAATGTGAGTCGGCTTTCCAAAACTTCAAGACGATACTAGCAGCTCCACTGTTGCTAGCTAAGCCGGACCCTCGGATGGACTTGATAATATACCTTTCGGTATCAGACAGAGCTATCAGTGCTGTTTTAGTTCAAGAGAAAACAGAGCAGATGCTAGTATACTTCATCAGCTGAGTCTTACAAGAGGCTGAAACGAGATATCAACATCTCGAAAAGACTGTTCTAGCTCTCATTCATACGGCCAGGCGTCTCCAACACTATTTCCAGAGTCACAGGATTCTTGTCCGAACGGACAGTCCAATTGTCAAAGTCCTGCGAAAACCCGAATTGGCTGGAAGGATGGTCGCTTGGTCCATCGAATTGTCACAATTTGATATTCGTTTTGAACCAAAGGGACTCATCAAGGCTCAGAGCATGGCCGACTTCATCAACAAATTTGCACCACCAGTAAACCCCGAGTCGCACGTATGGACGCTGCACGTAGATGGATCATCCAACCAACAGGGCAGTGGCGCCGGCATCATCTTGGAAGGCCCAGGGGGAATGAGAATAGAGCAATCACTGCGGTTCGGATTCAAAGCTTCTAATAATCAAGCAGAGTACGAGGCCCTTCTCGCAGGGCTCAGGTTGGCAACTGACCTCGGCATCACTAAAATCCAATGTTTCAGTGATTCGCAAGTGGTGACAGGGCAAGTCAGCGGCACTTTCCACATCAAAGAACCAACTTTGTTGTTGTACTTTCATGCTTTTCAGAAGTTAAAGAGCAACTTTGAAGATGTCCAAGTCACGCACATTCCCAGGGAGCGCAACACTTGGGCAGACCAGCTAGCCAAATTAGCTAGTAGTAGGAAAACTAGCCATCTGCGTAGCATGATACAGCAAGAGCTGTTAAGACCGAGCATCAATGAAACTGAATGTCTGCAGATTGATCATGAAAGCCCATGTTAGATGGACGCCATAATAAACTACCTTCGGACCGGCGAATTGCCCGAGGATCCCCTCGACGCTAAGAAAATAAGGACTACAGCTGCTCGGTATACGTTAATCGCCGGAGAACTGTATAAACAAAGCATTTCTCACCCCCTGTTGAAATGTCTTAATCCCGAACAGGCGAACTATGTTCTTCAGGAAGTTCGTGAAGGAGTGTGCGGAACGCACTTAGGAGGTCGGACTCTTGCGGCAAAATTCATTCAGGCCGGTTATTACTGGCCCACCCTGACGACCGATTGTGCCAAGTTTGTGCAACACTGCAGGCAGTGCCAGCAACATGGACCTCTGACACGTCAACCTCCAGAAGAGCTTCACCCAATAACTACCCCATGGCCATTCTCCGTTTCAGGTATGGATATTTTAGGCCCATTCCCGCCGGGCAGAGGGCAGGTGAAATTCCTAGTGGTAGCAATAGACCAATTCACTAAGTGGATTGAAGTGGAAGCCTTGACCACCATCACGGCCAACAATGTCCAAAAGTTCTTCTGGAAGAACGTCATCACCCATTTTGGAATCCTATATGCTTTGATAACAGATAATGGTTTGCAATTCACCGATCGACGCTTCAACGAATTTCTGACCGAATTGGGTATTAAGCACAAGATGACATCGGTAGAGCACCCCAATCCAACGGGCAAGCCGAAGCAGCAAATAAAGTCATCTTGAAGGAGCTAAAGCGACGACTCGGACAGGCCAAGGGATCCTGGCTGGACCACTTGCCTGAAATCCTATAGGCCTATCGCTGCACTCCACAGAGTTCAACTAAGGAAACCCCTTTCCGGCTAACCTATGGCACAGATGCAATGGTTCCAGTTGAAGTGGGGGAACCTTCGCTAAGACGAACACAATTCAATGAGGACGCCAATGGAGAAGCACTCAACATCGAGTTGGATTTGGTGGAAGAAGTTCGAGAACAAGCTCTCGCAAATATGGAGGCATGCCGAACCAGGGCAGTAAGGAAAATTCGAACGAAAGTAAGACCAAGGGAGTTTCAAGCCGGGGATCTTGTGTGGCGAGTTATAGAGGAAGCAAGGAAGGATAAAGCTCAGGGTAAACTAGCCCCCAATTGGGACGGCCCCTTCCGCATAATGCACAACCTACAGAACGGGGCTTATAAATTAGAAGAACTCAATGGGAAGGTCATACCCCGCACCTAGAATGCAACACACTTGAAACATTACTTTAGTTAATATATCATGTAATTTTGTTTCGGTACACTCTTTTCCTTTTCTGGGTTTTCTCCTCTTATAAAATTGTGAAAAGAGGTTTTCCCGAGAAAAGGTTTTTAACGAGGTACCACATCAATGAAACAAGGCTTCTTCTCGGAATTCTTTTGTCAAATATTCAATTCCCTCCCGAGCACTCTCGCTCGGCCAAGGATGAAAACTTCATTCCCTCCCGAGTATCACTACTCAGCCAAGGAAGAATAAGCAATTCCCTCCCGAGCACTCTCGCTCGGCCAAGGATGAAAACTTCATTCCCTCTCGAGTATCACTACTCGGCCAAGGAAGAATAAGTAATTCTCTCCCGAGCACTCTCGCTCGGCCAAGGATGAAAACTTCATTCCCTCCCGAGTATCACTACTCAGCCAAGGAAGAATAAGCAATTCCCTCCCGAGCACTCTCGCTCGGCCAAGGATGAAAACTTCATTCCCTCCCGAGTATCACTATTCGGCCAAGGAAGAATAAGCGATTCCCTCCCGAGCTACCTTGTTCGGTTAAGGATGAAAATTCAAAATCCCTCCCGAGACATCCTCTCAGCCAAGGTTGATTAAACACTCCGTTTAAATAATTTGGAAGGAAGTCTGACATTCCAATCAATTAATTTATTAGGAACCAAATTGAGACAAAAAATAAAAGTGGGACTAATTAAATTGAAACAAACAATTATTATAAGGGACTAAAATACTATTTTAGCCTA